AGCCATCGAAACTTCAGTTTTTTTTTGTCATACAGCTTTTGAATGAATATCTGAAATTGCGATCACATGGCTAAAAAGTTTGAAAAAATTTTTTTTCAGCCAATGACATACAGCTATAACACAAAAGTTTTTCCACAGTAGTTTTTGTCTTTAAAAGTTCAATTGCATTTTATGCGAATTGAATTGCCTTGAAAAACAGCTGTGTAGCTTAAAAATATCTGAATTTTACGCCAAAAATCAATGGTATATAGAGTTTAGTGTTGTTGACACTAAATCCAAATAAGAGAGACCAATTTTATTTTTAAAAACTTTTTTTATTTGTTTCATTCGAATTTTACGCAAAATTAAAATTAATCGATTTTTAAAAAAATTAAGCAAAGAGTAACTTACAAATCACTTTAAGTAAATTTTGAAAAACATTTTTTTTCGAAAACAGCAGAAAAAAGTTGTATCAATCAATCAATCAAACTCTCCATGCAGCCATTTTTCAAGTTAAAAATACCTATTTTGTCGGCTCGAAGCACTTGGGTTTTTTGTTTTTGATGCAAAAATGCTTTTGAATTTCTTAAAAAGAGTTTAAAAAAGTTTTTGGTTCAATTGGTTTTGGGAAAGTTCCGAATAATATTCGTAGTTTTTTTTTTCACGTGGAAGTAACTAAGAGACTGAGAAACTGCCAATTTTGCTGAGCTCCTGTCAGGCTGATTATGCATTTGCTGACCCTAGAGAACTACACTACTGTTGAAACAAAGTTTGAAACAATTCTATAGGACTCATTGAAATTTTCAGAAATGTCAGTTTTTTTTTCATTCCACCAAATGACAATTTTTGATCAGTTGAAAAACTGGAAGGAGTTGATTTGTTTGAAATCTGAATTAATTCCTCGAAAATATTCAAGAAATTCGTTTTCTCCGTGTTTTTTAAGTCAGCAAAAATCCACTTACATTACATTAACAGGCCAATTTCATCATTTGGTTTTTGAGAAATGCATGCAGTGTAGTGAAGGCTAATGAGTTTTAGGTAGCTCGGTATTAACTAATCGATTTCACAAGAAAAGCAAAAAATTGACCAATCTACAGAATTCGTCGAATCTTGAAAGAATTAGTTCCTCCTATGGCTGAAAACCCAAGTGAAGTAAGTTGTGATACCCCCCCCCCCAATGGAAACTAAGTAACCTTGTCTTATGAAACTCATAGGACGGATACTAAAGACGATTTGACACGGGCATGCTAAAATCCGGACCCCTCGGACTCCCTTGGGAAAAGTGAAATAGCCCTATCAGAACTCGGTAACTAGCGGTTGGAATGGAACTAAAATTTAGAATGTTGTAGACCTGGTTGAGGAAAACCTAACCCTAGACTCCGCTGGACCCCTACTTCCGGTGTTATGCCCTGTGTAAATAGTCCCCCTACTTCCGGTGTTATGCCCTGTGTAAATAGTCCCCAGCGCGACTTCCGGAAGTCATTTCGCGGCAACCACTCAACACAGGAGGCCAAAACTTTGGTATATCATAGGTAGTGACAAGTTATATCATGTTTTAAATTTTGAACCAAATCGGACGGTTGGACCGGAAGTTATTCGTACTCAGGAAAACCACCCCTTAGACCAGAAAAAGGCAATTGATGCAAAATAATGAGAGGGGCCCTTTTGATTTGTGGCGGCAATAGACACTAGGCACCAACATCCAAAAAAAATCTTGTGAGTAAAACCCATCCAACGGCTCCTTTTGATATTAATAGCCTTTTCCCGGGAAAAGTGATAATGGACTTTAGAAATGGGATAACGTGGGAAGAATAAACAAGATATGAATGAAATTTGGTAGGTAGCATCCCTATGTAATTCTAAACCTCAATATGGAAATGGTAAGCGATCACCTGACTTGTAACTGGGAGGGAACACATCTATTGGGAACTGAAACAGAAGCTAAAAGGGACATAGTTTTTTTATTTTGATATTGAATTAGTGGAGTTAAACAAAGTGGACTTGGCAAACTTTGGGTTCAACTATGCTTGGCGAACGCGCTAATTTTTGAATAGCAACCAGACTAAAGAAAAGTAGTCCTAGAAGAAAATTGGCAGTAATAGGAGCATGGCATGGGAAGTAGGTATCCTAAGTAAAAATGAACTGACGGGATACTTACTTAGCTCCCCGTAGATGACTTTTTGGCACGACTTGACCCTAATTAGCGAATAAAGTTCCCCTGATATCCAGAAGGTCGAGATTGGAAGAGAGTCTAGATGGGCTTTTTAGATGCTTGAAATGAGTTAGCGACCCATAAAAAAGGGTCGCTCCCTACCCCCGGGAGGTCGGAACGTTAATGTGATAATTAAATAAAAACCTTGGGAGATTGGTTAGCTGAACATCACTTGTTATAGAGGTGAAATTGGACTCATCGTTGGCACAACTTAATGAGAGATACCTATAATGACCTTGGAATATAGGCCTAGTGTCGTCAGAGGAAGGAGTCAGTTAAAACTTTGCGAAAAGAAGGTTACCGAAATAAATGTCAGGACTTATAGGGACGATTATAACCCTAACCATAATTGAAACTCAAATGGAAAAACACATAGAGCATAACAAATAAGCTACCTTATGGTTCAACAAAATTAGCTACTTGTGAAAGTAGTTGGGTTCTCGGTGTTAGTTATAGAAAAAAATTGGCTACCATTGAGAGTAGCTGGGTTCTCGTTGTCAGGTATAGAATAAAAATAGCTACTGTTGAGAGTAGTTGGGTTCTCGTTGTTAATTATAGAAAAAAACTGGCTACCAGTGAGAGTAGCTGGGTTCTCGTTGTTAGTCATAGAATAAAAATAGCTACTATTGAGTGTAGTTGGGTTCTCGTTGTTAATTATAGAACAAAATTAGCTTCCAGCGAGAGCAGTTGGCTTCTTGTTGTAAGTTGTAGAACGATTATTGCTAGTGTTTAGAATTAATTGGCTCTCTGAGCTAGAGAGAACAATTATAGCGAAGCAATAGATAGTTGATTATCAAAGAGAGAGAAAGATAAGAACTCTGAGACAGATAACTCGAGTAAGAGTTGGAAAAAGTTACGAAAAGCCTAAAAGAAAAAGCTTCGCGAAAGTAATTGATTTATCGGGCTAGTAAATTTTTCAGTGCGTTCAGAAATCGGGAACCGTTCTCCAGAATTGGAGACCACTGTGAAAAGTAATACAGTTCGGGGCAAGTGAAACTGCGGAAGGCAGTAATCTGAATTATCGCAGATCCATTCCTTTGATTGAAATATTAAATTATATGTCGGCCAATTGTAGGCGTTTCTGTTTCTGGATCCATTTAATGCTTAATTCATCATTGATACTGTGTTGTTGCCAAGGGAAACGAGGATACAGCGAAAAGAGCACTGATCAAGGGGGCCAGCAGCATTAACTATTAAGAACAGCTAACCACCAAATCATTCCTTTCGATTTCTTTCCTTTTGATTTCTTTCCTTTGAATTCGAGAGTAATTAACCAAGCTGAAGTAGTGTCAATCAGCTGGAAATGTGCAGAGCATATTAGCCAGCGACAGCCGAAAAGTTACGTCATAATGAATGAGAGTTGCATGACTTAAGTATTTCTTGCATAATTGTTGCATAGCTGTTAAATTCTTATTGCGTATTTTTGGGTGGTTTATATTGTAGCTGGTTAATACTTCGGCTAGTTTAGATACCCCTCTAAATCCCTGTCGCAAAAACTGCGCGAGAGTTGTCTTGCTCTGTTGAATTGGAACTGAATCTATAATATGTTTTGTATTCGATTCAGAGCATGCGTGGAGGATCGTTCAGCCCTAGCTTACTGGATGAAAAAATTGTACGACTGCCGAACAAAACTTTGAAAAAAGTAGCGGACGTTTCCACTTCAGACGTGAATCTCCTGGATTTTTCCCAAATTCAGGCTTTGTACGATAACGAAATATGGGCAATGACTCATTGTCAGGCTTCGGCTGAGAGTGTTCATGCAACAATGGACGAAGTGTTTGCGTGTTTGAAGAGTTATTTTAAGTTGGCATCTAATGTGTACAGAGGGAACCCTGAATTGTATAGTGTGATGTTACTCACATGTTGTTCGTTCCTCGTGATTCTCGACAAACAAGCGTGTCTTATGAACCGGATGATACTAGACCATGGTCTGGATATAGACACCACCATAATGAATCACTTATTGTTACCTTTGCAAGACCAGCTGAGTCAACTGCGAATAGTTGAGAACCACTTGAAAACAAGATTCAAAGGGCAAGATCCCGTTATGTTGATGGGTGACCCAACGAACCCCAATTCTCTGGACGTGCGGTACGCAAGATCCAATTCGACTATGCAAAATACACGCGAAACAATTCTCGAAAAAGTTAAATGGGCGAAAATGGTGAAAAGGGATGAAGTTGAAAGGGAATACAGGCGTTATCAAGACTTAACAAAACAGGCGGGTCGAAGACAGTGCGAGTTTGTACAAGTTCAAAGGCGTAGCTACTATGGAAACTGGTACACCGATGAGGTTCACAGTCGTAGCTGTTATAAGTGCCGCTTGAATAAAGAGGCTAATCAAATAAGCGTCAGTCGCTACCGTAATCCGTTTCCGCCCAATATAGAAGGCCAATATGCAGTCGTATTTGAACTACATTGTCCAAATGAAGTTCGCGTATTACGATCCGCTATTCTGTTCCTCAAGAATGAAGTGTTGACATACTGGATATTTGAGCGCGTGAACGGACAGCGAGCTGTTTGGTCCAACCACAGCGATCTTCGCTCCCACAGAAGTTCTAGCTATCCTGTTTCTCTCTCTGAGCAGGTGACCTTGATGAGCTCGACTGACTTCAACTACCGCCCTGATCCCATGCATCCACAGAACTCCCCTAGTGGCGAACAATTCATAATTGAAAACCAAAATGATTTAGGTTTGGGTTTTGTAAAAGCTAACTCAAATACAATTATTCCTATAGAAGGAAAACATTTAAGCGTGGATTACGAAAACAATCGTTCTTTCTTACAAGAACTTCAAAAAAAGTGCACAATGGAAGCGAAGGGAGTGTACAAGTGCCTGCAATGGACAATTGACTCTAATTTGCACAGTGACAATGAAGTGATCTGCAGACAATCTGACTGTCCGGCTGAAATCTCACTGAAAGAGTTTCGAGTGTTCGGCAGTACTCGGGCGGGCAACCGAACTCAGATTCGGAACCTAGTCGCAGCTTTCAAAAGTAACGCTCTCTCCTGGCATTTTGAAGGTGTATTGTCTTTAGTCTGTCAGGTTCTCTGGGAAACTGGGAAACAATTATCAGAGAGTGAATCTAAGAGTCGGGATGCGAAGGATCAGTCAAACGCCTATTGCCGCGTTGATGATCCCAGAGGGAACAGTGCTAGGCTTCAACATCGAGAGTTACTAGACGAAGACTTTGTCCGCGACATTCTGAAAGTCCTGGAAGTTCAGCTTGACTCTATCCAAGAAAATTGGGACAAAAATTTGTCTCTTCTATGCTTGGTAACATTTGGCTGTCGTTTGCTTGAATTCTCAGAAAGCAAGGATGTAATTTCAACATTTCTGTTTCGCTGCCGAAAAATTGGTTTGGACTGGGTGAGAAAAGTTAAAAACAAGATAGAGTCTCTTAAAGTCCGTGGTGTTGACGAGTCACCGTTAAAAATTAAACTGGTCCAAATCAGTCTAACTATAGCCAGTACATTTTTCGTGAGCAATGTGAACGTACAGTTGGTCCTCAATTGTGCAGATCACGCAACAACTTGGATGATAGTTCAAAACAATGTGTCTGACAACGTCGTAATGAACAACAAGACATCGCTTTTTATAAAGAACCTTGTGCAGAAATGTTGGTTGACAGGCCTTCGGATCGAGAACGCTCTAAAATCAATTTTGGAAGCCAATTCAGAAACCATTCAACAGTTTGCGTGTTATCAATACCAACATCTCGCCCTTTCGGGTGAAGAGGTTGGAGCCGATTGGGCATCTGTTCCGGAGGCTTCTCCGTGGATGAAAACAGATCTGAATCATGGAGAGCACATGTGTGTGAACATCCTTACTGGAACCTTTCTAGTGAATGGCGATCCCGTGAAACGTCTTCCAACGGATATTAGGTCACACACATTTTACCAACGGATCTTTGGCTCTGCAAACTTGACCGTAGCTCCTGGTGATTACCCTGGAAGCTTCGTGACTACAAATGAAATAGACGGAGCTTGCTACCAGTTCCTTATGATGAATAGCATTCTCCTAATCACAAAACGGATAGCCTCAAAAAGACTGTATTATTTGCCCGAGATCCTTTTGAAAAACCACTTGCCTTACGAGTTATGCCAGTTCAGTCACTGGCTGGAAGACAACGAAGAAAACTCGAAATACATTGAGTTCAGATGTCAGAATGTTTTCTCCTCGAATTCACCTCCGACCTACAGAATCGAAGAGAAACAACAACATGCTTGGGAGCTGATTGATGCCCACGACGCCTCTTTAATGATCGGCATGCATAGTGATATATTTGATAAAATGCTCCGTTTGAAACTAGACCGAATAGAAAAGCGTGATCACATACACCTATTTCTGCTCCCTGAAAACAAAACGTTGACAATTAAACTTCCCAGACACAGGATATCCTTTTCAATATCTGGAAACTTTTCTCAAATAAGCCCCCTTGAGTTTCCTGGCTTCAAACTCGCTGACTCTGATTATCTGGGAACTTTAATTGGTTTAAGGAGTTGCATTGTCCTTGATTCCGTTGGCTCTGGAACCAGGAAAAAGTTAATTATTCCCCATAGCGACATAATCGAATCATTCCGTTTCAAGCATGTGCGAATTGAAGTAAACCAGGAGTCTTTTCACAATCCATCGTATTTTGCATACAATGTGGACGAAAACTTCAAACAACTTTCACCGCCATCAAGTGATGAAGCGAACCTGTATCTTGCCATGTTACACGTGAAAACATCGTACCCCCTGCCTGACCCGTTTACGAAACTAACAGGATTTGAAATGAGCATGCAGATCCTGAACAAGGGTCGAAGTCACTCCTGCACGCCGCTGGATCCGAGGTCCCTTCAAATCTTGAAAACTCTCCAAGGGTGTTGTCGCGAGAGAAAGTTTAGAGTCACTCGCGGAGTAACAAAAGGTGAAATTGAAGTTTACCCTCGAATCCCGCCGTATTCTATGTGTACATTGGAGTCCCTTAAATTGCAGTGTGTCAACTTGCAGATTCACAGTCAGAAGTTGAAGTACATGCTGCCAAATCTAGAAAGAACAAAAGAAAACAGCTCAGATCCAGGAAAAGAGACAGTTTCGATCCTTCTGGCAGAACAGGCGATGCAGAAGCTCCGAGACAAAGTTTACCCTCTGAACATTAAAAACTCAAAGCTGAAGGTCGCAAAAGCAGACAGTATTGTGCATAATACAAAAATTATGTTTAAAGAAGAAGCAGTCATTGAAGAAGTTCGAAACATAGCATCGATACAATATCTCAGGAATTCAGAATCCCGGTATGTCGAAGAATACTCCTTGAGTGCATGGGCGAACAGTTTAAATGACATGCATGGCTTTAGAACAGCAAGTTTTATGGACCATCGGGACTTGAGTATCTGGAAAGCATTGACATTTAAGAAAGAGTGCATGCTGGATCTGTACGACTTAGCTCGCAAAGGCGATGAAAAAAGAGACTTGTTGTATACACTGACATCGTTTCTCGCATACGAACAGTTGCTGGACTTTAAATACATGGTTTCGTTTCTCGTGATATCGGAACATTTCAGCAATTTCCAGACATTAGATCCTCCTGATTATCCGTTTTATCAAGACCTGCCGAAAACTAATATTGTAGAAAGCGAAGTCAGGGACATAGTTAAGCGCTTTTTCAAGGAGACAAATGCATTAATTGATGATTACCTTAGCAAAAAATTCACGTATGCGGAAAGACAACTGGAAACATTTAAAGAGAATTTTGATGAAGAAAGAAGAAAAGCGGAAATTTACTTAAATGAAAAAAAAGCTGAGGAACTAAAACGAGCAGTTTCATTGGCTATGAAAGCCTGGCCAGATATTAAGTTCCAATTTCAGGGATATTATGAATTTCTTGATAAAGACGCGGCTACAGAAAAGCTCTCGGTTTTGTTCTACAACCGATATACTAACAAAATGTTGTTCGAGTTCTTGAAAAAAGTGGAAAGCGCTATAGAAAAAATCCTTGAAGATAACAAAAACAAAGAAATTTTGATTAAATTTCCCAACTTTGTAGCTGAGTTTGATCAAAAAGTAAATTTTAGTAAAAGAATCGATTTGAAGCAAAAGCTCAAATTTGAGACCGGTCCTGCGAATTATGAGGACCTTATACGGCCTTTTGTGCAGCTACACGACGTTAAAAATCTTGACGTAGAGATAACCGATGTAGAAAGCTCTGAAAATTTGGACGAAGACATCGTTGAACTGGTCGGGGGGTTCGAAGCCGAAGACGCCGTCAGCCAAGACTTCAAAAAGCGTTTAGAAGAAAGTTGGAAGACTTTCAATGACAAAAAAAATACTTCCAAACTAATCATGCCAGGTCGTATTCAACTCGAAGAGAACTTAAAAAATTCGATTGAAAAAATATCTGAAGTGGAAAATGCCATGATGGATATTTTACTGCCAACAGAAAATGAGTTTGTGAACGTAGCGCTGCATAAATCTGGATTGGTGTTTAGAGACTCGCCGTTGGAGCTGGTTCCGCATCTCTTCAAAAGAAAGTTGGTGGAAAATGAATACGACTGGAAAGACCTCTTAGGAGCTCTAGTGATTAGATGGACCGAAAAGCAACGGTTGGAACGATGTTTACAGCACCTCGAGAGCGGAAAAACGGTGTATCTAGAACGTGAGTGGAAAAATGTTGGTCATACCAACTGGGTTCCTCGATACTTCGTGGAGTGGTTGATTCTCGAAGCTGAAGGAAACTTCATAATCCGACCCGAACAAGTCGAAATCGCCCTGCAGATGTTTGAGCCTCCTAGCGAGAAAAACGCAGTGATGCAATTAAACATGGGTGAGGGAAAATCCAGTGTCATTGTTCCTATGTTGGTGGCATCTATTTCACGGAAAGAAGGATTTTGTCCCCAAGTCGTAGTTCTAAGTTCACTGTACCCCACTAATTCACAATCTTTGTCCTCGAAGTTGGGAAACATTCTTGGCATGCGTCTGCTTCGACTGCCGTTCTGTAGAGATCTTGAGCTAACGTGCGATCAAATAAATCACCTCTCAGAGTATCTCAAAGAACACAAAAAACAAAGAGGCTTTTTGGTTAGTACTCCTGAACAAATGATGTCAATGCAACTGAAGGCTTTGGAAGTCTACATCAAAGACAATGGAGATCAAACTAAAAGCTATCATGGCCTTTCAATTTTGTATGAAGAGATAGTTAGAAATGTTTTGGACGAAAGCGATGATATTTTGTCGGTTAAGAGACAGTTAATTTACACGATGGGATCCCAAATTGGGCTGGATGGAAACAACCAACGTTGGATAGTTCTCCAAAGCATATTGAGAACCCTGAAAAAATATGCAGGTTCGATATTTGACAAATGCGGCTCAGAGCATGTTATGATCAGCCAAGAAAGAAACGAGACTAAGCACCAATTCAACGTTTTCCGTCTTCTCGACAAAGATTCGGAGTCTTTTCTGAAAATCAGTCATCTGATTCTAGACGATTTTCTCAAAGGCAGTACTGAAGCTGATTTGAAGCCATTGACTGCTGATCAAAAAGCACACGTGAAAGACTACATAATGGCGGATAAACTGGAAATAAATCAGACTGAAAACTTGGGAGTGATTCTTGGCGATTCTGATGTTCCTCACGTCCTGTTTCTTCTTCGAGGATTTTTCGGCCTGAAAATCCTGCAGCACTGTCTGACTTTGCGACACCGGGTAAACTACGGCACAGGGAGACACCGCAACATGGCGGTTCCGTTTCGGGCAAAAGATGTAGCGGCGGATAAAACTGATTTTGGCCACCCGGACGTGGCGCTGGCCTTGACACAGTTGACCTATTACTATCAAGGGATCCCAGAAAAAGGATTCGAGGAAATTATGTGGAAACTGACTTACATGGAAATAAGTGTGGCAACTGCCATATATGCGGAATGGGTTGCGTTCTGCCATCCTGACTACCTGCCAGACGAATTGAAAAGCTTCAGCAGTGTCAACGTATCGGACAAGATTCAATTGCGTACGTTGTATGATCTGTTTCACAAGCACGTTCTAGTAGTCGACTTCTGGCTTGTACACTTGGTCTACCCTCAAGAAGCTAAACAATTCCCTAAAAAGCTTTCCACCACCGGCTGGGATTTGTGTAGTGATAATGGAAACCTAGTGACGGGATTCAGTGGCACTAATGAAACCCAATTGCTACTGCCTCTCACAATAGAACAGTGCGACTTAGCCTCTCTGCAGGGAACGAATGCCCTCGTTATGCATAATATGCTTAAACCCGAGAACCAATTCTATTGGGCTCTAAAACATGGAGCGACTGGTCCCGAAATTCTAAATTTCATTATTGAACAAAGTGATTGCAAAATCAAGGTCATTTTGGACCCTGGAGCTTTGATTTTGATGCAAAATGCAGAATTTATCCGTCTCTGGATGTCGAAAACGTCAGACGTAGAAATCGAAGCAGGGATTTTTTTCGACGACAAGGATAACATGATGGTGCGTGACCGAAAAGGTTTCGTTACCCGATTTCACCTCTCGCCCTATGCTGAAAAACTCAGTTCGTGCATCATTTATCTGGACGATGTTCACACCCGTGGAACGGACTTGCAGTTTCCAAGTGGAACGAAAGCGGCTGTTACTCTAGGAAAGGGTCTGGCGAAGGACAAGTTGGCCCAAGCGTGTATGCGGATGCGGTTGCTGGGCTGCGGTCACAGTCTAGCTTTCTTTGCATCTTATGAAGTTGACCTTGAGATACAATCTCTGAGTTCTTGTCTCGCTGATGGAATATCAGAGGTTGGTAAAGTAATTTCATGGGTGTTTGGAAATAGTAAAAAACAGGTCAAAGATGGACTGGCTCACTGGGCCAATCAAGGAACAGATCAATTGCGCAAAATGTGTGCTTACGACCGACACAATTCAAATGAAGTCGACAGCAGTTCGTTGCAACGTTACGGACTTGACGTCGTTCAAAAAGAAGTTACTGAACTGAGAAAACTGTACGGAAACTACAGAGAAAAATCAACTCTGTCTAAATTAATATCCGATCGCACTGCCAAGTTTCTGACCCCAGATCACGAATACAGTGAGACGTGCAAGGCCTTTCGCAAGAGTCTCGTGGCAAAATGCGAGGAATTAATTCCGGGAAAGGAAGTGTTCGCCGATCTGTTTGACGAGGAACAAGAACGAGAGTTGGAACACGAAGAGGAGGAAGAGCAACAAGTCGTTAGACCAGGTCAGTACTATTTTTTTTATCCAATAGTTTAATTGTTCTGACTTTCGAAGAAAGTGACGAATCTTTAAGCTTCGGGTGGTTTTTTGGTCAGTCAGTTTTCAAAAGTTTTTGACGGAATTATCAGTACCATTCGAAAAATATTGTTGCCCGAATGTTGAAAAAACATTCACCTGTGATCATTTTTCGTACAGTTATGGGGGTTTGAAAATTGTTAGTTTGGCCAATTTGAGATAATTAAAGCAATAAGTATTGCGTTTTCAAAACACCGTAAGCGACGGATCAAATTGTTCCAAGTTAAACAACACTGCTTGTATCGGGGCGACACCCTGTAACGTCAATATAGTAGAGATTGACTCCAAAAATCATGGAGCTTTCAAAAAATTGATAATTCTATTTTAATTTTGATTTTTTTAAAATCATCTTCCGGTCGCTTTAACCTACAAAATTATATATTAAGCATAAAAAATTGTGATAGTTAGAACAAATATCGTGCTTGAATTCAATTTGCTGCAAGTCTGATCCGAATGGGATCGTAGCTAACACGTTAATAGCACAAAATGTATTGCACCTTAATTAATTATACCAAAGTGGCAAATTTCAAATCCTCATAACTAAGCAAAAGCTAATCACAAGTGAAATTCTGTCAAGATGACTAGTCAGTAAGTTGAAATTTTTCTGAAAGAGAAACAACAATCCGAAAAAAATATTCCGTCTATTTATTTTGGCTTTGGTTATTAGAGTATACCCTCCTCTCTCCCTCCTCTCTCTCTCTCCTCTCTCTCTCTCTCTCTCTCTCTCCCTCCTCTCTCCCTCCCCCCTCTCTCTCTCTCTCCTCTCTCCCTCCTCTCTCTCTCTCTCCTCTCTCCCTCCTCTCTCTCTCCCTCCTCTCTCCCTCATCTCTCTCTCCTCCTCTCTCCCTCATCTCTCTCTCCTCTCTCTCTCCTCTCTTCTCTCTCTCTCTCTCTCTCATCTCTCTCTCCTCTCTCTCTCTCTCTCTCTCTCTCTCTCTCTCTCTCTCTCTCTCTCTCTCTCTCTCTCTCTCTCTCTCTCTCTCTCTTTCTCTCCCCCTCCTCTCTCTCTACCTCCTCTCTCTCTCTCTCCCTCCTCTCTCTATCTCTCTCTCTCCCTCCTCTCTCTCTCTCCTCTCTCTCTTCCCCCTCCTCTCTCCCTCCTCTCTCTCTCTCTCTCTCTCTCTCTCTCCTTTCTCTCTCTATCTCCCTCCCTCCTCTCTCTCTCTCCTCTTTCTCTCTCCCTCCTCTCTCTCTCCTCTCTCTCTCTCCTCTTTCGCTCTCTATATCTCTCTCTCCCTCCCCTCTCTCTCTCTCTCTCTCTCTCTCTCTCTCTTCTGAGTTTTTTGATTTTTTTTTCATTTAAATTTTTTTCCACTAAGAACTGTTTAATTGGCACTAGAGCTCAATTGAAAAAATCTGGGTTTCTCCTTGTTATAGGATCAGTCAGGTCCTCATTAATATCAGTTTCAAGTGATATCAGCTCATTTCGCACCTATTTTTTTCAAATTACTCAAGTATTCACGCTTGCTAAGATCAGTTTCTTCTTCCTGAACTTGAAAATTGTAATTTGGAACACATAGGTGGATTTGAGAATTCGATCCACTGAAGGATTCAATTCACTGACTACGTAAAAGGTAATTTGTGGGACTTTTATACAAAATCCATATTTGGCCGTTCAATAATAAAAGTGTTCTATAGGCACTTGTAGCGCCCGTATGTAATTTTTTATTGGAAAGCGCGCGAGAACGCATGTTTTGTCGAAAACCTCCAGAAATTTTTCCTCAGGTTTTTCATGAATATAACCCACAGAGCAGAAAATTTGCTGCTTTAAGGAGCTCAAAATTAGTTTGGTCGATCTGAAAAAAAAGTAGAAAAAGACTCGAGCAAATTTTAGATCCACTTCCAGTTACAAAACACATTTTTTTGTGTTTGAAAGATAGGAGCCACATATGAGCAGTAATGTTTAATTTGGAACGATTTAATACGTTGCTTATGTGTGTTATAACTGGCCAAAATTGGCCAAAAGTTAGCAGCTTTCTTAAGCTTACAAAAATGCTCGCAAGTGAATGTTTTTTATACTTTGACCTTCGGACCATAATATCTCTTAAGATAGTGTGCAAAACTACGATGAAAACAATTTATTAAAAATTCTGAAATTGACTGAATATGAAACCATCCCAAGCATAACTAATCCGCCCTTTCTTCGAAAGTTACATCCTGGGGAGGGGATTGCTTACTTTCAGGGAGTGAACCAATAAAAAAGTTTCTTCATCATGCCCTCCGCCACTCACGTTTCATATCAAGTTTCTGATTGCCTTTTGTGCAGGCTCTTCGGAATTTTGAGAAAATATTATTTTAAAATGATTTACATAGTGGCAAAATTGATCACTTGTTCATTGATCATGCACCCTTGGGGCGGTGAGGGGGTCGAAAGCTATAGAGTTATTGAAGATACAAAAAATAAGTGTCATAAAATAAAGGGATGTGTACCATCCCTACCCTACATTAAAACTAGAGTGACATCCCTCCTATGGAATTTATCATGGTTGCATAAGAATCCAATATAAATTTTAAAAAAAATCAAATGAATTGGGTTTTTTTTATTTAAATCAATTTTTTATTTAAGTCCCATCTTTTTCAAAAACTGCCGAGTGTCTTAGAAAAACCAAAAGAAGTGTTAGAAAATTTATTAAAATGAAGGGTATTTTGAAAACACTGATCAAATTTCAGTTTTGTTTTAAAACCTTCATACACAAGACCAGTTTTTACAAAACTGGCGGGTAAAAATTCGAGTATAATTGGCGGGAAAAACACTGAGAATTTTCGATTTTCCCGCTTTTGATTTGAATCCAACCTAACCTCTGTATAAAATCAAGATTTGAATTGGATTGAAATCACTTGATTTTAATCAAGCAACCCTGGCACTTATAAAGAGTAATGAACGTAGTGAAGACTCTTATATAGGTCTGGCTGATTTTTTTTGTTTTTGTTTGTTTTTTTTTTCAGAAAAAAGTCTTAAAATATCGATGCACTTAGATATATATGCACTTTTGAGGTCAATTGAATTTCATCTGCTGAAAGTGATCTAAATAGCGCTCTCCAAATATGAACGCACAAATAGCGTGAAATTCTTGACCGATTTATAGTTTCGAAAGTGGAATTTACTTTTTAATTTTCCAGCGGAATAAAATCTTTACCTGTTGATCCTTTTTTCTCAAGTTGGGTTAATTTTATCGAAAAAGCCCCAATCATAAATTGTTCTAGAAATTGAAAGAGGTTAAAGGGCATCTTTATTTGAAATTCGAAATTTGAGATTTTTTGAACAAAGTGTTTTTTTTTATGTTTACTTGCGTCTTTGCTCTTTTCCAATCTTCGATTGGCTATGTTGATGAAAGGACTAGTTTACAAATATCTCCACTTTTATACCAAGTTTTTAGTAGCCGGGAGGGGTACGGGGATAGGGAGTATTTCAAATACTTTGAATGCCTCTCTTTTGTTCATGAGCTGACCTGAACACTTTA